GGACGTGGATGGCACCATCATCACAACGGACGAGCAGCTATGCCTTGCCCGCCTCAAGTACTTCGCCAGCGTTGAGCAGGCGAGAGTCCAGCAGCCCTCGGAGCTAGTGCAACGTTACAACGAGACGGCCCAGCAACTACAGCCGCCGAAGGAGATACCTGTCAAGATGGTGCAGTCACACCATGGGCTAGCCTATAGCTTCAGCAAAGCCAAGTTGCGCAAGGCCGCTGGACCAGACAAGATCGCCAATGACGCGCTCAGAGCTTGCTGCAGATCCATGGCCAGGCTATGGCACCCAGTCATCACCAAGGCCAACTTCTTGAATCAAGAGCCGGTGCAGTTCAAGATCGGCACGGCCGTGGAACTGCACAAGGCCGGCTCCTCCAAGCCCTTTGCCAACTACAGGAGCATCCTCCTCAACAACACGGTCGCCAAGCACCACCATGCATTCTTGCGCAACCTGATCATTGGGTGCCACCTGGATCTTTTACGACAGACACAGTATGGAGGCATCCCACGGCGCAGCACTGCCATGGCCACGCACTCGGTCAAGGCCTTCCTGCACGTATGCCGACTGCAGCAGAAGGCAGCCATCCTGCCCATGATCGATCTGAAGGCCGCCTTCTACACGGTGGTCAGGCAGCACATCGTCAGGGGCCCCACGGACAGGGAGGACCTGGAGGACATCTACGAGCAGCAGAACGTTCCACAATGGATGCAGCCCGCGCTCCAAGAGCTGCTCGCAAGGCCGGGCGCGCTCCAGGACAACAGCGTGGATCCAGCATTGCACGCAGCGGTAGCAGAGGCACATAGGCACACCTTTTTCATGACACATGGCTGCCCGCTCACAGCGGAAAGTCGTCGAGGCACGCGCCCTGGCAATGGCCTAGCGGACCTGGTATACAACCTGGGCTTTGCCACGCTGCTGAGAGACCTACACAAGGACCTGGCCGCCCACAACTACACGCTCACACTGAAGCCGGACCCTGCTCCTGTCCTGGCTTCTGGCTCTGCAGAACAAGCCGAAGTTACGGATGTATCCTTCGTGGATGATGCTACGACGCCCTGCGCGGTGGACAGCTGCGACGATCTAGAAGACGCCATCAGGGGCATAGTCAGCATCCTGTTCAAGCACATCTGCATCTTTGGTTTCACTCTTAACCTGGCCAAGACCAAGATATTGATAGGCTTCTTTGGCCCGCGTGCCAGAAAAGCAAGGGCCCGCCTGCTTACCAGTCACCCGGCTTACCTATGGCACGATGGCCTGGACCATCAGCTGCAGATTGTGGAGACGGCGGTCAACCTGGGCACGGTCGTGGATACTAAAGGATGTGAGGGACCCAACATGGCCCGCAGGTGCAAGGGGCACTCGGCAGCAGCGGGCCCTCTGAGGATCACGGTCAACCAAATCCAGGATGTGGACAGACAGGTTAAGATCACGCTCACCAGCGCCCTCTGCGATAGTACTCTCACTTTCAATGCAGAAATATGGGGTGCGCTGGGTACCAGGCTGGACTCGCAAGTCGCTGCCAAGTACGTCAACGCCTACCGCGCTGCGGTGGGCAAGCAGCACATACCTGATGGACCTCGCTGGCGAGATGAGGAGGTTCTTTTAGACGCAGACAAGTCCTCCTGGCAGATCATCCTCCGCACAAGGCGCCTGCGGCATCTTATGCGACTATTGTTCTTTGGTGACCAGCAGCTACTGCGCCTCGTTGATCTACTCTGGGAGGAGAAAGGCAGCTGGAATGTCCTGATCTGGGAAGATCTGATTTGGCTTGGTGAGTTTGTCTCTACTGATGAGATTCCACTGGAGCAGCGTCAGGACATACGCACCTGGACTCACGCCTTCAGAGTTTGGGAGTATGCCAAGGCCATGAACCTGATCAAGAGAGTGGAACGCAGAGCACATGCATCTCAGATGGAGTATTTCAGGCATGGCGTTTGGCAGAGACAACTCAGATCTTTGGCCCAGGAGGCGGGGCTGCCACCCCCGCCCTTCGTGGAGGCAGATCGACCCGAACGAGGACAAGGTTTCATCTGCTATGATTGTGGCAAAATACTGGCAACACGGGGCATGTGGAAGAGGCACCGCACAGTCGTGCATGCACAGCGTGATGACGACCGATATATTAGAGGGACGCTTTGCTCGAACTGTGGCAAGGACTTCCACACCCGTGCTGGACTTCTTCGACATCTCAAGTACAGAAGCCTCAGATGTATGGAGCATTGTCGTGCCACAGTTGTTCCATTAAATGACGAAGAGTTGGCAGCAGCTGATGTCGAGATGGCAGAAGATACCAGAAAGCTCAAAAGTTGTGGATTCAGGGCGGCCAAGGCCATGATGCCGCCGAAGGACCCAGACCCATATTGGATTACGACGATCCCGACCTGGGCCCGCCCTCTCGAGCCAGCTTGCCCGCCAGCAGCACCAGCTGACGAAGACTGCCTTGGTCATCAGCAGACAGTGTACCCCTCGACAGTGGACAGACCGACTACGCGGCACTGTAACCTGGTACTCCACCTCTTCAGTGGCCACAGGAGACCCAATGACATCCAGGATCACCTGGAGAAGCTAGCAGCAGAATGGTCAGTCCCCTTGATGGTGCTCTCCCTGGACGTGCAGAACAATGCGGACAGAGGGGGCATGTCCAAGAATGACAACCTTATGTTCTGGAAGGCAGCCATGCTGGCAGGGCATGTGTGCGCGGTGGTAGGAGGACCGCCCTGCGAGACCTGGTGCCCGGCCAGATGGCTGGATGATGGCAAGGGGGGCAGACAGCCGAGACCCCTCAGGACGAGGAGCAGGCCTTGGGGCATCGGCAGCGTGACCCAGAAGGAGAGGCAGCAGATCGACCTGGGCAACGCGCTGCTCCGCTCCTGCCTCCTGCTGCTCCTGATCGGCCGCCCGCTGGGCATCACAGGGCTGATGGAGCATCCAGCCCCAGCACCCTGGAGGCCACAGAGCATCTCCTCCTGGGAGACACCCGAGATCTCCTGGGCGCTCGAGCTCCCGGGGGTGGACTACGTGCAGGTGGACCAGTGCGCGTACGGCGCGCGGTCGAGGAAGCCGACGGGGCTCCTGGCGGTGAACGCCCCCGAGCTCCGCCTCGCAGTGGACGCGGACCCCCAGGGCGGCCGCTGCCGGCATGAGGGGGGCCACCCAGCGGCAGCGGGCCGTGACGAGAACGGCCGCTGGCGCACCGCTGAGCTGAAAAGCTATCCGCCGGCCTTTTCGCTTTTGCTCGCCAAAGTGCTCTTGGGGCACCAGGTGTCGAGGCTCAGCCGGGCCTGGGATCCCTGGGGAAATGACCTGGGGACCTCGGCTTTCCAGGATTTCTTTGTCCCACTCGACCCATATTTCAATTTCCAGGCGGGTCACGACTGCTACCGTCATGTCTAGTGCTCGTTGTCCTCCGTCGACACGACGTCGACGCTGTCCTAGAGTCGCCAGCAGTGCACGCCCACTCCCTCCTCCTCGGCCCAAGGTTTTCTACTATCCTCGCCCCTTCCTCCTCGACCTCGAATCGAGTGGGATGAGTCGGTGCCCGAGCACGTCGGGCCACGTCGACAACTTCGTGGCCCTGGCCGAGCTGGAGGTCTTGCACGGTGTAGGCCTTTGCAAAATCCCAGGCAAAATCCCAGGGGAGGAGGAGGAGGAGGTGCCCTGCCTTTTACGAGGTTCGTGCCGTGCCGACGCGGCGGAGACCACGGGACGGCCAGTGGCTCAGAATCGGCCGATGCCGAAGGATCTGCGCCATCGAGAAGCTGCGACCCCTCCTCCTCCCCCTCCTCCTCCTCCTCCTCTCCTCCTCCTCCTCATCCCTCCTCCTCCTCCTCCTCCTCCTCCTCCTCCTCCCCCTCCTCCTCCCGCCTCCTCCGACCCACTCGGTGCCAGAAACCAGCGCAGAAGTCGCCACGGCAGAGCAGCAGGCCCTCCTCTCGACGCGTCGGCCCTCGGACCCCTCGACCCTTTCCCTCTCAGGGCTGGCTCCTGATGCCGTGACAGCCCACGCTGGCACGCACACCCCGGGCCACAACGGGGGCTGGGGCAGCCTTGCCGAACGCGTGCGCCGCGACGGGGGGTGGGCTTCTCGGGGAACGGCCCACGCTCGAGCGGCGGCCTCGACGGCCGCCGAGGTCTTATCTATGAAACCCCTCCGGCACCCCGCCTGCCAGGGATGCCCGCGGGTGCCGCCGTCGAGGGTGGGGGTGGCATTTGGAAACATCATCCTGAGTTCAGAGGAGGAAGGAGGTACCCATACCTCTATCCCTTCTCCCGTTTTCCCCTTCTTGGGCCTCCTGGGAGACCCTCGTCGCCACCGCTGGATTCGCATCGAAATCTTGGTCAGAAAGCACCACGGAAGAGGTCCAGGGAGTAGCGGTATCGGTGCCTTTTGGTTTCCCCACGAGTTGTTTCTGATTGCCTTGGGGCCCAGGATTGCCTCAAAGACGCTAACAAGAAACCTCCAGCCGCGACCCTCGCAGCTGCACGTGGCACGGAGGAGGGCCAGGTTGAGGCAGCGGCGCGGCTCTCCCGCCTGGCCCAGCCCGCTCAGGATTGGGCCCCGGACAAGCTCCCGCTCCACCAAGTCAGAGCCCAGATCCCTCGGGGATTGTCCTTCCACTTTCCATCCGGCGAAGCCGAGGCGTCCGTCACGGGGTGTCGCCCCCGCCCCGCCCTCTCCCACGCAACGGAGCGGAGGGGGTAACTACGGGCTGCCCATACAGGCATGGCGCGGTGTTCGTGATGAGAGGGAGGGAGGAGGAGGATGAGGACGATGAGGGAGAACGTCGGTCCCCGCCTCCCTCCTGGACCCCATCCCTCCTAGAACCTCCCCTCCATCCCCATCCTCCCTCCATCCCGTCCTCCCTCTCCCCATGCTTTCCTTTCCCTCCCTCCCCTCCTCCCTCCCTCCTCCCTCCCGCCTCCCCTCCTCCTCCCCGTCGTCCCTCCCAGCCCCGCCCCTCCCTCTGGACGCCCCCCCCCCCCCCGAGAGGTCGCCTCCCTGATGGCTGGTCTCCAAGGCCCGCGGAGGGGCTTGTGCCCCAGGGGCCGGCGCTGCCCCATCCTTCTCGTTTTCCTCCGTCTCTCCTCCTCCTCCTCCGTCTCTCCTCCTCCTCCTCCTCCTCCTCCTCCTCCTCCTCCTCCTTCTCCTCCTCCTCCTCCTCCTCCTTCTGCGCCTCCTCCTCCTCCTCCTCCTCCTCCTCCTCCTCCTCCTCCTCCTTCTGCGCCTCCTCCGTACGTTCATCACCCTCCCTTCTCCTGCACGTCTTTCTCACTCTCCTCTCCTCCTTTCCCCCGCCCTTCTCCGTGCCCTTCATCCTCCTTTCTCTTCCTCCTCCACCACATCTACGCTATGCCTCCTCCTCCTCCTTCTCCGCCTGTCTCGTCCTCTTTCCTCCTCCTCTCCTCCTCCTTCTGTTCTTCCTTCTCACCATGATCATCAAGCCCGACGTGAACCCTGGGCTGTGAGAGTCCAGGAAGATGTTGAGCAGCTCGTGCTCGTGTCCGCAGAAGCCGCTGATCGTTGGCAGGACGTTATGTCGTATGAATTAAGTGTGAGTTTGAGCTTGTGCGTAGATCTAGGACACATGGTATGAGTATGATCAGGAGTGTCGCCATTAGTGTGACTCACCCATGGTGCCTACCATGAGACCCTCGAGGAAGCTGGCGCTCTTTTAACTGAGCGAATCTATGAATGCCCGCCCTGTGGGGCCGCCTTTCCTTACTGGTGTGGACCTGTCGTGGTCAATCATGTCAGTGTTGTGCATAGCTGTGTTCGCATCTCGCACGCACTCCCACTCACAATTCAATGCATTGCATGCGGGGAAACATTCGGAACACGTGACTCGGCATGCAAACATATCGCAGGAGCCTCACAGAACGGACGACGATGCTTCACATAGAAAGCAAGTGCTTCCACGGCTGACAGCACTTGTGATTCCTGAATGCTTGTCTTGCTGCTCGTGTGGCCCAAGTGCATTCAGCATGCCTGAATACAACGAGCACGCCCGTTCACATGTTCCGTTTCTTTCTCAGCGTTTTTTTATGGATGGACACGCTCGGGCCCGACGTGTTTCCGCCCAGTGTGGACGTGCAGCCCGCGTCTCGACGCAGCGGGCGACCGTGGAGGGAGGATCACAAGGTTCCGAACAGCCAGCAGCAAAGCAGGGGATGGGGCAGCAGCTAGGGCAACGAGAGGCTGTCCCACGAAACCGCTATGCCCAGACATGCCGACGCCCGCAGGCACGCCCGTGCGGTTCAGCACCGCAATGGTCATGCATCTCATCCCCAAGGAGAGTTGCCTCGCCAGGGGCGCGCTTGCGGCCCACACAGTGCAACGAACGAGCAGCGTTCGAAACAAGGGCAGCGTTCGAGAAGAAGGCTGCAAGCGAGGACGCGGATCTCAGCTCGCATGGACTTCAGGCAAGCATGGCATTCGACTTGTCGGTCCAGGCCATCATCGCGTTGGCACCAACAGCGGTTCGAGGCTTGGCCCCGAAGTTCAGCGACAAGTACCTGAAGGCGAAAACACCCCAAATTTGGCCTCGGCGCGACGTAGTTGAACATGGTGCCGAAGGGAATACTGTGGCGACAGACGGAGACACATGTTCGCACAACACGTGAAGACAGTGATTGCGATTCCCCCTGTGTGTGCTTGCAGTGCCCATTGCTAGGAGCTGGTGGCGAGCGGCATTCTGCCTGCACGCACCTTCCGGGTCCCAGATTTTGATGTGTTCGTACCAGCATTTGATAAAGTCGGGTGAGAGGCAGGGGGGGGAAGGCAGGAATTAGGAGAGCTGCTCTTGTCAGCAGGGTCTTGGATAGGACCCTCCCGTCTCGTGGGTGTTACCCGCGGCCTAGCGGATATGTGGCCGCCGCAGGGTCACTTCTCGAAGTCACAGGGTTTGGCAATCTCTCGCCGCATCGGGCCAGATCTCCGTACCATTAAGATGTGGTTGCTGTGCGCGTGGGATCCTAAGTTCCATAACAAGGTTTCACTGCGAGGGCTCGTAGCACATGTTGTGGCCATTGTTGTCACAGATGCTTTACTGATAACAACCGACGAACCGGCCCCAGTTGCAATCGTATCTCATTATCCTCCTCCTCCTCCTCCTCCTCCTGCTCCTCCTCCTCCTCCTCGTCCTCCTCCTCCTCCTCCTCTTGGTTCCTGGTTCTGGATGGCTGAAGGGACCCTTGACCGCAGCCAAACCAGCCCTGCTCCGCAGGGCTGATGCTCCTCCTCTTCCTCCTCCTTCTCCCTCTCATCCCCCTCCCTTTCCTGCACCTCCTGGTTCCTGGTTCCTCACGGCATGAATGTCTTCAGACGTTGCCGCTTCCCCCAGCGACGCCCGGTCGCGCCCCCCTGGGGGAGTAGACGAAAACACAAAATTTTGGAGCGAAGTCTCGCAGAACAGTACAGGGCGGAGGGAGGAGGAGAGACATCGCATGCTCATCGTACTAATCTCGACGAGGTCTGAAGAGGTAGGTGGAGCGAGCTGTGGCGGCAGCGGTTGAACGGGCGTGGAGGCCCTAGGGCCTACGTTGGGTCCTCCCTCCTGCGGGTCGCGTGGCCCTCTTGGGCCGCCGTCCTGGAGGGCGCCCAAGGTCCCCCCCCCGCAGGGGTGCCCGCCTGCGCAGAGGATGGGGGGGGTCCAGAGTGGAGGCTTTCCAGCTTACCCTGGGCCGTTGAGCCTCCAGCTCATGGGCACGGCGCGGGCGTGGGTGGGTAGAAGGCAGAGGTGGGTGGCGGCGCGAAACCAGTGTGACGGCAGGCAGTGGAGGTGGAGGTGGTGCGTGGACGGCGGCGCCCAGTTAGAAGCTCGGTTGCAGAGGTACTTTTTGCGGGCCCCTCTCAGGTACCGCCTGCAGCAGGGTGCCCAAGGGCATCCCCAAGGCCAGCTGCGGGATCCCTCGCCTGCAAGCAGGCGTAGGGTTAGGTCGGGCATGTCCCCTTACGGGCGGATTTACGATGAAAAATACAGTAATAATCAAACCATATTCCCAAATGGCCACAAATGGTCAAAAAAACGTCCCCAGACTATTTTTCACTACTGTTGAACATTCCTCCTGTAGATGGACAGGCCCGACTTAAGCGCAGGGTTCCCAGCACCTCGCCCTCCTGGCGGCCTCGGGGGTGTCCACCGAGCGTGATGGGAGGTTTGGGCGCTCCAGCAGGCGGCAGCGTGGCGGCGGGTCCAGCCACGCTCGCCCAGTGGAAGGGCAGACGGGCCTCGCCCCCCTGCGCACAGGAAATCCCCCGAAGCGCCCCCCAACCCCACGACTGGTACCCTCCCCTGCTGGGCAGGAGGAGGAGGAGGAGGAGGAGGAGGAGGAGGAGGAGGAGGCCCTGCCAGGCAGGAGTAGGATACACAGGTCGTGGAGGTGGGGGCCGCTTGCGGGGGGGGTCCGCCGCGCGTGGGGGGGGGGTTCTGCCCTCTGTGGCGGTGGCACGGCCTTGGTGGCGTGTTCCCCCCCGACACAAGTCCCACCCCCCCACGTAGGCTGTGGCAGGCGAACGGTGGTCGCGGCTGCTGTGGCGGTTGCGAAGAGAGAAGTAGTAGGTGGAGGTGGGGTGCGGGGTGACTGCCAACCCGCGCCTGCAGCTGGCAAGAGCGTTCGTGCAGCGGGCGTGTGGTGGGTTTGCGGCCAGTCTGACCACGGCCTCACAAGCTTCTGCCGTGTGGGCCTGTGGCGGGTTCCCGTGCTCGTCCCTCGCCCGAAGATACTCTCTGCAGCCCCACCCCATCCCCGCCACAAGAGGTGGGTGTCGAGAAGGTTAGATGGATAAGGAGATGTGGCTGCAGGAAGAAGAGCCAGGAGGGAGGGGCCGTCAACCGGTAATTGCAACCGAGAGTGATCGCGGTCGTCACTTATGTTCACGTCGTATCGTGCCTCCAGCTCCAGTGGAGTGTCGCGAAGTGGGTGAGAAACCCCGTAGGGACCCTGATCGGAATCGCTACCGATGTTCACGCTGTAGGATGCTGCCGAGAGATGCTAGAGTCATGCAGTGAGTGCGCACGTGTCGGTGAAAGAATAGTGCAGAGATGGGAATCAGTAGGTAGCAGTTGGTGTTTCTGTCTGCTGGGGTACGAGTAGGTCTGTGAGGATATGATGCACTGATTGGCCGCCGCTAGGCCAGTCCAATCGCGAGGGTTGCCTCAGTGTTGTGGGCGATCAGTGGGGAGGCTCCTGATTTGCCGTAGTCGGGTCGTGCTGGACGCGATGGTTCGCTTCGACGGCGTCTGCGAAGGTCGGCCACGGTTTCCACGGATTGGGGCCGTAGACCGGGAAGGCCTCCTCGTCCGTCTCCTGCGGGTTGTTCTGGTGGTTGTTGCCGTGTTGTCCGTCTGTGGGCTGGGGCTTCAGTCAGGCGATCGCAAACATGGACCAAAGGGGCGTGGATTAGCAGCGGGTCCTGCTTCCATGGGAAGTCGCGGGGTTCCGTTGCCGAACGAGGCGGCCCTGGCTACATTTTGGGGAGGGCACTTCCCCGATCCATGGATTTGGCGACCGCGCGCCAAATCCATGGGTCGCTAATCCATGCTTGCGCGCCCCCGATTCAGCGGCTTTCATTTGCAAGGCGTGTGGGACACGTCCCGCTCTTTGCTGTGGTCAGTGATCGTGCTGCGGATCGTAGCTGCTGTGTTGCGGTCCTCGTGGGTGGTGTGCTGCTTGTGTTGGTGTGGTTCTGGATGGCGCTGTGCGGTGCTGCTCCGTTCGGTTTGGTTCAGCATGTGGGCCAGCTGGTGATTGGCGTAGTTAGCCAAATCCCTTTGTCGCTGGGTCATGTGGAAGGGGCGTGCCTCCCGCAGCTTGTCAGACTTGCAGTAGCTGTTGAGAGCTCCCTCCACGTACGCCATGACCTTGTCGTACTCGATGCGGAGGTCAGGGTCCGTTGCTGTGTCCCGGTTAGTCCTCGTTGCGTCGGTCAAGTCGAGCACCGGATCGAAGTGGTGAGCCCTCGCATCGTTGGTATGTATCTTGGACATCGCGCTCTCGCGATCGTATACGGCATTGCTGATGATAGCGGTCAAGCGCCCGATGATGTCGTGGATGCGGTCCTTGATGCTCACTCCTGTTGTCGTGCCTGGCGGTGGTGGGACTGGGGGTCGGCTTGCGAGCTCGATGACCGCGTTCCAGTTTTGCTTGGTGTCGTCGTTGGTTTTCGAGGTCGTTGCGCTCAGATTTGGCGTAGTTTGGTTCGTTGCGGTCCCCTGCTTGCTCCCGTGGTTCCGCGGGGTGGTCGGAGGTGGCTTGGATGGTACCTCCTGCAATGGTTGTGGTGTGCTCGGCAGCTTGCCCTCGCTGCCGCATGCGCCGCCGGCTGTGGTCAGTTGCGTGATGGGCGTAGGCGTCAGTATGGTTGGTGGATCCTGGTAGCGCGGCAGGAGGTTCGCTGCATGCGTCGGTGTCGCCGGTCTCGCTGGTGTTACCGCGCTGTTGTTGCTTCGCGGTCTTGGGGATGAGCACGTACATCGTTCCTGATGCTTGTTCCTTCGTGGCCGGAGGATGCCCTGCCCTTCGTGGTCGGGGCGGTCAAGAGGTCGGTGCACCTCCTCCTCGTCTTCATCGTGCTATTTCATCTTCCTCATCATCCTCCCTTTCCTGCACTTCTTCCTCCTGCTAATCATTTCTCCCCGAAGAGGAGACGAGATAGGATGCCGACTCAAGGGCAGTCGAGAGGAAAATTGACCCCATGGCCGAAAAGGCCTCGAGCACCGAGCTGTCGGGCACATCTTGCCTCGCGGCGGCTCGCGACGATTGCAGTCGGAAAAGCGCAGGAGAAGGCGCATTCTGCGCTCTGCGTCCAAAAACAAACATGTATGGGGACACCCCCTGGTCATGTAAGGCTCCGGGTGGTGCACAGACAGCCCCCCTGCAGGTAGTCCCGGCTGGCCCCAGCAGGCCCTCTGAGTAGTCTTGGGCGGTCTCAACACTCTGGCGGCGAGCCTGGGGCGCTCCGCGCTCCAGGGTTGAGGTGTTGTGATCGCCCCAAATTTCCACAGCCGAAGCCGATGATAGGGATGGTAACCTTCCCAGGGTACCCTTGAATCCTTGCCTCGTCGGTCCATCCTTGACCACGTTCGATGGCCAGCCGCGCTCGAAGAGCCTCGATATGGGCGTACGTGAGGCTTGCATCCTTACCTCGGAACCTTACTGTCAGTTTTGACTCAGGGGGCTTGTTATGGCCGGTGGGGGCTACCTGGGGGGTAGTCTGCGCGCAACCCGAAGCCGTCCCTCCAGCGTTAACAACCGAAATATGACAAGACCTGTTTGCAGAAACTTCCTGGAAGCTGGCCCAGGTTTCTTGAATGACAAGTTGTTTGATCTCATTTCGGGCTGTACTACGGGGACCTGAGGCTCGCGCGGACTACCCGCAGGGGGTTTCTTGAGGCTGGCCGAGGCCTGAGGGCTCCTCCCTCAGTTTCTGAGGGCACATCCCTAAGATTGCCATCGTTTTTGGCTTGCCCATCTCAGGGGGAGGGATGAGAGCTCGAGTCTGGCGCTAAGGGGGCCTGCTGGGGCCGGCGGGGGCTCCGAGGCGGGCATCTATCCATAACCACCGCCTGGGCGATCGATCTTCGCGGACCTCCACAGGCGGTGGATCTGTTCGGGCCCCCGGCGGCCAAAACATAATTATCCACATCCACCGCCCGCTGGGGGCACCAGGGCGTCGGTTCCTGGGCAGGGGCCACCTGCAGGGGGGCTGCCTGCACGCAGCCCGAGGCCCCCTTCGACAGAGGCTCCGCCGCGCCACCGGTCGGCGCAGCGCGCCCCGTGTGCCGGAGCCGCTCTCCCGCGGCCGCCGACCCTGCCCTCGTCCCGCTCTTGCACGCCGGCCACTTCGCCGTCTGGTGCCCCCCGTCCAGCTCGGGCGCTGGGGCAGCCAACTCTGCCTCGCCGCCGATGGAAAAGGTGTCCGCGCGGCTGCGGAGCGCTTGTGGGTGCCCGCGGCGGGGATCGATCTGGGATTG